AGGGAATAAACCGTCACCAAGGGAATAGACCGTCACCCAGGGAATAGACCGTCACCCGGGGAATAAACCATCACCCAGGGAATAAACCATCACCCAGGGAATAAACCATCACCCAGGGAATAAACCATCACCCAGGGAATAAACCGTCACCCAGGGAATAGACCATCACCCAGGGAATAATCCATCACCAAGGGAATAGACCATCACCCAGGGAATAGACCGTCACCCAGGGAATAGACCGTCACCCAGGGAATAGACCGTCACCCAGGGAATAGACCGTCACCCAGGGAATAAACCGTCACCCAGGGAATAGACCGGCACCCAGGGAATAGACCGTCACCCAGGGAATAGACCGTCACCCAGCGAATAAACCATCACCCAGGGAATAAACCGTCACCCAGGGAATAAACCATCACCCAGGGAATAAACCGTCACCCAGGGAATAGACAGTCACCCAGGGAATAGACCGTCACCCAGGGAACAGACCGTCACCGAGGGAATAAACCGTCGCCCGGGGAATAGACAGTCACCCAGGGAATAGACCGTCACCCAGGGAATAGACCGTCACCCAGGGAATAGACCGTCACCCGGGGAATAAACCATCACCCGGGGAATAAACCGTCACCCAGGGAATAAACCATCACCCAGGGAATAAACCATCACCCAGGGAATAAACCGTCACCCAGGGGTAGACCATCACCCAGGGAATAAACCATCACCAAGGGAATAGACCATCACCCAGGGAATAGACCGTCACCCAGGGAATAGACCGTCACCCAGGGAATAAACCGTCACCCAGGGAATAAACCGTCACCCAGGGAATAGACCGTCACCCAGGGAATAAACCATCACCCAGGGAATAAACCATCACCCGGGGAATAAACCGTCACCCAGGGAATAAACCATCACCCAGGGAATAAACCATCACCCAGGGAATAAACCGTCACCCAGGGGTAGACCATCACCCAGGGAATAAACCATCACCAAGGGAATAGACCATCACCCAGGGAATAGACCGTCACCCAGGGAATAGACCGTCACCCAGGGAATAAACCGTCACCCAGGGAATAGACCGTCACCTAGGGAATAAACCGTCGCCCAAGAAATAAACTGTCACCCAGGGAATAAACCGTCACCAAGGGAATAGACCGTCACCCAGGGAATAGTCCGTCACCCAGGGAATAAACCATCACCCAGGGAATAAACCGTCACCCACAGAATAAACCGTCACCCAGGGAATAGACCGTCACCCAGGGAATAAACCGTCACGCAGGGAATAGTCCGTCACCCAGGGAATAGACCGTCACCCAGGGAATAGACCGTCACCAAGGAAATAGACCGTCACCCAGGGAATAGACCATCACCAAGGGAATAAACTGTCACCCAGGGAATAGACCGTCACCCAGGGAATAGACCGTCACCAAGGAAATAGACCGTCACCCAGGGAATAAACTGTCACCCAGGGAATAAACCGTCACCCAGGGAATAGACCGTCACCCAGGGAATAAACCATCACCCAGGGAATAAACCGTCACCCAGGGAATAGACCGTCTCCCAGGGAATAAACCATCACCCAGGGAATAAACCGTCACCAAGGGAATAGACCGTCTCCCAGGGAATAAACCATCACCCAGGGAATAAACCGTCACCAAGGGAATAGACCGTCACCCAGGGAATAGACCGTCACCCGGGGAATAAACCATCACCCAGGGAATAAACCATCACCCAGGGAATAAACCATCACCCAGGGAATAAACCATCACCCAGGGAATAAACCGTCACCCAGGGAATAGACCATCACCCAGGGAATAATCCATCACCAAGGGAATAGACCATCACCCAGGGAATAGACCGTCACCCAGGGAATAGACCGTCACCCAGGGAATATACCGTCACCCAGGGAATAGACCGTCACCCAGGGAATAGACCGTCACCCAGGGAATAAACCGTCACCCAGGGAATAGACCGGCACCCAGGGAATAGACCGTCACCCAGGGAATAGACCGTCACCCAGCGAATAAACCATCACCCAGGGAATAAACCGTCACCCAGGGAATAAACCATCACCCAGGGAATAAACCGTCACCCAGGGAATAGACAGTCACCCAGGGAATAGACCGTCACCCAGGGAACAGACCGTCACCGAGGGAATAAACCGTCGCCCGGGGAATAGACAGTCACCCAGGGAATAGACCGTCACCCAGGGAATAGACCGTCACCCAGGGAATAGACCGTCACCCGGGGAATAAACCATCACCCGGGGAATAAACCGTCACCCAGGGAATAAACCATCACCCAGGGAATAAACCATCACCCAGGGAATAAACCGTCACCCAGGGGTAGACCATCACCCAGGGAATAAACCATCACCAAGGGAATAGACCATCACCCAGGGAATAGACCGTCACCCAGGGAATAGACCGTCACCCAGGGAATAAACCGTCACCCAGGGAATAAACCGTCACCCAGGGAATAGACCGTCACCCAGGGAATAAACCATCACCCAGGGAATAAACCATCACCCGGGGAATAAACCGTCACCCAGGGAATAAACCATCACCCAGGGAATAAACCATCACCCAGGGAATAAACCGTCACCCAGGGGTAGACCATCACCCAGGGAATAAACCATCACCAAGGGAATAGACCATCACCCAGGGAATAGACCGTCACCCAGGGAATAGACCGTCACCCAGGGAATAAACCGTCACCCAGGGAATAGACCGTCACCTAGGGAATAAACCGTCGCCCAAGAAATAAACTGTCACCCAGGGAATAAACCGTCACCAAGGGAATAGACCGTCACCCAGGGAATAGTCCGTCACCCAGGGAATAAACCATCACCCAGGGAATAAACCGTCACCCACAGAATAAACCGTCACCCAGGGAATAGACCGTCACCCAGGGAATAAACCGTCACGCAGGGAATAGTCCGTCACCCAGGGAATAGACCGTCACCCAGGGAATAGACCGTCACCAAGGAAATAGACCGTCACCCAGGGAATAGACCATCACCAAGGGAATAAACTGTCACCCAGGGAATAGACCGTCACCCAGGGAATAGACCGTCACCAAGGAAATAGACCGTCACCCAGGGAATAAACTGTCACCCAGGGAATAAACCGTCACCCAGGGAATAGACCGTCACCCAGGGAATAAACCATCACCCAGGGAATAAACCGTCACCCAGGGAATAGACCGTCTCCCAGGGAATAAACCATCACCCAGGGAATAAACCGTCACCAAGGGAATAGACCGTCTCCCAGGGAATAAACCATCACCCAGGGAATAAACCGTCACCAAGGGAATAGACCGTCACCCAGGGAATAGACCGTCACCCGGGGAATAAACCATCACCCAGGGAATAAACCATCACCCAGGGAATAAACCATCACCCAGGGAATAAACCATCACCCAGGGAATAAACCGTCACCCAGGGAATAGACCATCACCCAGGGAATAATCCATCACCAAGGGAATAGACCATCACCCAGGGAATAGACCGTCACCCAGGGAATAGACCGTCACCCAGGGAATAGACCGTCACCCAGGGAATAGACCGTCACCCAGGGAATAAACCGTCACCCAGGGAATAGACCGGCACCCAGGGAATAGACCGTCACCCAGGGAATAGACCGTCACCCAGCGAATAAACCATCACCCAGGGAATAAACCGTCACCCAGGGAATAAACCATCACCCAGGGAATAAACCGTCACCCAGGGAATAGACAGTCACCCAGGGAATAGACCGTCACCCAGGGAACAGACCGTCACCGAGGGAATAAACCGTCGCCCAGGGAATAGACAGTCACCCAGGGAATAGACCGTCACCCAGGGAATAGACCGTCACCCAGGGAATAGACCATCACCCGGGGAATAAACCATCACCCGGGGAATAAACCGTCACCCAGGGAATAAACCATCACCCAGGGAATAAACCATCACCCAGGGAATAAACCGTCACCCAGGGGTAGACCATCACCCAGGGAATAAACCATCACCAAGGGAATAGACCATCACCCAGGGAATAGACCGTCACCCAGGGAATAGACCGTCACCCAGGGAATAAACCGTCACCCAGGGAATAAACCGTCACCCAGGGAATAGACCGTCACCCAGGGAATAAACCATCACCCAGGGAATAAACCATCACCCAGGGAGAAAACCGTCACCCAGGGAAAAAACCGTCACCCAGGGAATAGACCATCACCCAGGGAATAAACCATCACCCAGGGAATAAACCGTCACCCAGGGAATAGACCATCACCCAGGGAATAAACCATCACCCAGGGAATAAACCGTCACCCAGGGAATAGACCATCACCCAGGGAATAAACCATCACCCAGGGAATAGACCATCACCCAGGGAATAAACCATCACCCAGGGAAAAGACCGTCACCCAGGGAATAGACCATCACCCAGGGAATAAACCATCACCCAGGGAATAAACCATCACCCAGGGAATAAACCGTCACCCAGGGAATAGACCGGCACCCAGGGAATAGACCATCACCCAGGGAATAGACCATCACCCAGGGAATAGACCGTCACCCAGGGAATAGACCATCACCCAGGGAATAGACCGTCACTTGCGTGCTTTGAGACGTCCCTGAACTCGATTACCAAGTGTGTATCAGTATCAGCGCCTGAACTACGTTCCCTACCAGAAGCAGGTTGCTGAAGAAGTAGTCCCGAGTACCCCCCTCAACCTCAACCTCCCGTTTCAGTAACAGGCAGAAAAAAGCAATCCCTACCAGAAGCGGGTTGCTGAAGAAGTAGTCCCGAGCACCCCCCTCAACCTCAACCTCCCGTTTCAGTAACAGGCAGAAAAAAGCAATCCCTACCAGAAGCGGGTTGCTGAAGAAGTAGTCCCGAGCACCCAGCGCATACACTCTCATCGCGCCTCCCATCCATCCATCCCCAAGCTGACTGAAATGATACTCTATAAATGCAGTGTCGGGCACGTTTCAGTAACAGGCAGAAAATTGCCATCCCTACCAGAAGCGGGTTGCTGAAGAAGTAGTCCCGAGCACCCAGCGCATACACCCGCTTGGCGCCGCCTGTCCATGCGCCCACGAATGTGGCCCCGCAGTCCAAGTGGCTCTGCCAAAACGTGAAATAAGAGTGCTTTTGAGACGTCTCAAAACCCCACGAATGTGGCCCCGCAGTCCAAGTGGCTCTGCCAAAACAGAGAGAATGTTGTAATATGTTTGAAGTAGTGTTTTGAGACGTCTCAAAGCAATCCAAGTGGCTCTGCCAAAACAGAGGGAAGGAATGTTGAAAGAAGCACCAGGAACAAGCAAGATGAGGGCCGTGTAACCCGCGTGTAATGAGTCGAGTTTCGAGTCGACTCAAGTTTCGAGTCGACTCAAAACTCGACCAGGAACAAGCAAGATGAGGGTAGTGTAACACACACAGGCGAAAAGAAGAAAAGAACATATGCAGTAAGCTTTCCTCTCTTTTTTGAGAAACACGGTACAGTATTTAATGGCCTTCAGGGTGAGGTAAGAGCAGCATGGCACCCACCGAATGATTGCACGCCATGAAGAACATTCCACGATCCAATGGCAGATTCTCTGCGCCACGTGTCTCCTGCTCATTGGCACGTGCAACAAGGGAATGAGTCAGTAGTTATACCACTGCCCACACTTGCAAACCGCTAGCATAACACTCCCCCGAGCCACCCAGCCTCTTTCCTACAATCACTCACAATATGATCCAATAATCACACTCACCTGCACCACACGTTTCCTATAATCACACGTACACCCAGTTGTGCAAGCCACCTTTTCCCTATGCTCCCTCACACGATGGAAAAAAAAAAAAAAAAAAAAGCTTCCCCCTTATACCACTCTCACCTGAGCGAACCAGCTCTCATAGAGCCATTCCCCACACAGCCCAAACAACCGCTCCACACCCATCTTTCCGATGCTGTAACCGTCAACCACTAAGCCATCCTTATCCGCCAACATAACCAGTGCTGGTAACCAGGTCGACCTTTTCTAACCTGCATGAACCAGCTCTCGTAGAGCCATCTCCCCCACAGCCAGAAAAGCCGCTCCACAGCCCCGTTGTAACCCCAAATTATCCCCATCCACCCCGATGTAACCCGTGCTGGTAACCGGGATCGACTTTCTCACCTGAGCGAACCAGCTCTCGTAGAGCCATCTCCCCCACAGCCAGAACAGCCGCTCCACAACCCCCTCCTTCCCAATGCTGTAACCCTCAACCACCAAGCCGTCCCCATCCGCCGACGTAACCCGTGCTGGTAACCGGGATCGACTCTTTCTCGCCTGGCGAATCAATCTCGCCTGTATTCGCCTCTGGAGGTTCCGACGGGAGCTTCTCCTCGTGCTTACGCTCCGGAATGAATCTCCACAGTCGCTAGGCTTTTCAGGGTCTCCAATTTTTAACTCCACAATCCTTTGAGGCGACTCAAGAGAGGAGCTTCTCCTCGTGCTTACGCTCCTTGAGGGATCTCCGGATTCGCCGGGCTTCTCAGTAAGCGTTCCAGTATCGGCAGTTTTTCCCAGCACGTCGCTCTTGAGAATGGCTATTCTGCTGGAACTCTCTTGCTCGCCTGATACGGTTGTGTCGGAGCTATCGCCTTGCGCGAGACGCTCTGAGTTTGCGATGGAGACACCTGACGTTGACGGAAGCTGGTCGCGGACGTTGACGCTAACGGGAGAAAGCGCTCCGTTACAGTCAGGTTTGCTCGTTTGAGAATCGGAGACGGAATGCAGGCTTCGCGGGGGGTGTTTCTCGCGGGTGCGTGCTTCTGAAGAGCAGCCAATGTCAACCAACCGGGCATGCGTAAGCCTTGGTGGAATTCTAGCATCGCTTCTGTCAGATTTAGCTAAAATGCAGCTGCTCGAACCGCGTACCACAAAATGAGGAAGAGGAAGCGACGACATTGGGACCAAAAACGTGGAACTGGGGTATCCGGTTGTTAACTTATGGTTCGTAACGGGCCACACTCGGACAGGCTAATGCGACGAATGCAGAAAGCCTACGGTTTATTACCAGGGATGAAAGACACGAGCGGAATTGAGCTATGAATGTGCGAGGTAGTAAGCTATCATCAGCGAAGAAACTAGGTTTTTAAATCTCCAGTTCTAGACGTTTCACAGTGGCCAAACAAATTCTCCATAACTGTTCTGTCTGGTTTTGTCTGGGTTATCCTCTCTCGTCTCTATGACAATTCCCATCCCACCCTGCGCGGGGATCCCAGGAGCGAGCCCTCAGGGAAATGCTGGCAGCAAGTTGTTACAGAAAGCTGAGTTTTCAAGGAGGGGGGGAAAGCAGGAAGTCCGTCGCAGGCAGGCGCAAAACCCGTCGTAAGCAGCGGTCGTCGACCAGTGAGCGATGCTTGTGCGAGCAATGGAAGGGGCGAGCGTATCCTGATTGGTCAGTTGGTGTAAGATGTACGGCTTCGATGCACCTGAAGGCTTTCTTGGTGCAGGAAGCAATGAGACATATCTTAGTGACATGCGCGACATACCAAGCTCAGCTGCAAATGATAGTAATGTAAAAAAACAATCTCATATAAAAAGCTCAGGTGTAAGGAAAAACCCTTTTCCTTACTAGGGTTCACTCAACCGCGTACAACCCCAACTTTCGGAAGTGCACGTTCGGCCAATTTGCTTGCTGCCGAAGCAACCTCGCGTCGCCTTCGGCTTTCCTTTGCCCAACCAGCAGCCAACCTCTTGTTCCCGAGGTTCCCGCCTAGCTAGGTTGTCTTGCGATATGATCGCATGCCTTTTCATGGTACCGTCAATTCATTTAGTCACAGACTTCGTTATTCGTTTTCCGCGCTACTCTGTTTGACAACTCATAACACCTTGTTAGAGTAGGTTGATGACTATCGAGAAGGTTTTGGGTACAAGAATGAGAACCCTAAGGGATTGTACCCTATATCAGCTACCCCACTACAGCCTAACCAGATAAAACATGCATATAATTGACACACCCCCAAAAGCAAATTGGGGGAGAACAAGGGGTCACAAGACCAGTCAAGAGAAGCAAAACAAGCTCAGGGTGGATCACAACGTAACCACACATACTGAGCACAAGCAAAGGGTCACAAGGCCAGTTCACACGCAAAGATATATATGAAACAACGGCAGCACAGTGATCTCTACCTAGCAAAGCAAGGATGCTGGTATATATATACATATAAATATATATGTATATATATAACAGTACAGACAAAGTCTACAGCAAGTGAGGAAACATGGGCACAAGACCTAACAAAGTACAAAAACGCTGGTGATCACCAAACGGAAGTGCCTTGGTGAATATATCAACAATGTTGGCCCGAGTGGCTACGTAAGCAAGACGAAGCCGACCACGCTGCTGCAACTCTCGAGCAAAGAAGTAACGCACAGCGATGTGCTTCGTTCTGTGCTCCGGTCTGTGCTCCTGACACAAGGCAATGGCTGCCTTGTGGTCGACATACAGTAGTGGAGGAGAACGAGGCCGCTCTCCCAAGTCGGTCAGCAGGTAGGCGAGCCAGCGTAGCTCCTGTGCAGCCATCGTTGTGGCGTAGATCTCAGCCTCACAACTGGAGCCGAGAATTGAAGACGAGCGTGTAGACCACCAGGAAACTGAATCAGAGCCAAGGCTGAAGGTGTAACCCTGTGACGACCGCTGCGTAGCTAGGTCGTCAACCGAAGAAGCGTCCGAGTGCCCAGTGATGACAACTGGGCTCCGCCATCTGAGCACGAGCCCTATGCCCGATGTACTACACAAGTAGCGTAGTACCCTCTTAGCAACATCCATGTGCACCTTTCGGTGTTGACCAGGGCCCACGTAGCAAGCCAGAAGGCCAAGAGGGTACGCAAGGTCAGGACGAGTGTAGGTCATCAGGTACATGAGGCAGCCGACTAGCTCTGGGTAAGGACCACTCGGCTCTACGAACTCGTCCGAAGGTGGAGCTGAGAGCGAGTGACCTGTAGCCAGAGGAGTGTGCTGTGGCGAGGACCAGGTGAAGTGGAAGCGCTGAAGGACCTGCTGCACCATGTGTGACTGAGTCAAGGTAATGGTGCGGCGTGCTCTATCCCGGGTGATCTGCAGGCCAAGGTAGCTGCGCAGTTCACCCAGGTCTGTGCACGTGTGTCTCTTCTGCAGCTCCGACTTCACCAGGGTGAGAGCCGAAGTGTCACCAGTGGCAAAGACCAAGTCGTCGACATATACGAGGATGTAGAATGGCGGCAGCTAAGTGTCGGTGCGCAGAAACAGCGACGGGTCAGCAGTAGAAGGCGCAAACCCAAGAGCCGCAAGTGTCGTCCTCAGTGTGTCGTCCCACTCACGTGGTACCTGGCGGAGACCGTAGACTGGCCGCCGGAGGCTCCACTGGGTACCAGGAGGGAACGACCAAGTGAAGCCAAGTGGGCGGCGCAGCCAGATCTCCTTGTGCACACTGCCCTATAAGAAAGTTGTGCTGAAGTGAAGAGAGTGAAGCTCGTAGTCACGCTGAGCAGCAACATGCAGCAACACCCAAAGAGTGGTCATCTTCAGGGTGGGGGAGAAGGTCTAGAAGAAGTCAACTCCCTCTCGCTGACTGAAACCTCGAGCAACGTAACGAGCCTTGAAGACAGGCGGAGAACCTGGCGGCCACTTTACCCTGAAAATCCACATGCCACTGAAGATGTTCGCCCCAGGAGGGGGAACCTCGCCGATGTACGTGCCTGTGGACTTCTAGGATGCCATCTCTGCGTCCATGGGTGTCTGCCACTGAGAGGAGTACTCACCTGCGATCGCCTCTGTGTAAGAGCGCGGGGTCGGGATGTCTGGAGCATCCGGGTCTCCCTCAGGGGCAAGCAACATGGACACGAGATGAGGCGCAGCAGCTGCAAGACACTCAAGGTCCTCCTGCCTGTCCTCAAGGACGTCCGTGCCAAGAGCACAATCACCCCCGATGGACGGAGGACAGACAGACTCAGACTCAGCAACAAGACTAGCTGCGTAGTCTAGGCGACAGGTAGCAGCAAAGTCAACAAGCTGAGCGGCTAAGGCAGACGCAGCATCAGACTCAAACGAAGGGTCAATGACAACTGTGGCTAGCAGACGCGTTACAGAAGGGTGAGCAGCACGAGCGCGGTCTGACTCAGGCTCAGGAACGGTAGGCAGAGAAGGTGTAGGAGGGGACGGCAGCGGAACACGCTGCGGAGAAGAGGAAGGACGACGAACTACGAGGTGGGTGCCGGTGACAGCCGGCTGACGCGAACGAGGAACACGACGACCGGAACGACCAGAAAGAACAGGCGAGACAGGACGTGATACAAGCTCACGATGCTCAGTAAGACCCCACGTCTGCTCAGTGTACAGGGAAGGAGCAGGCAGCGGTGAGCCAGGCTGTAACGGAAGACCAGTAGACGAAGGGAGAATAAGAACTTGGCAAAGCACAGAGTCAGACGGTGGCTGAGATGACAGAGACGGTGGAGCAAAGAACAGGTACTGCCGTGCAGCGTCACCAGCACCAACAGCTCCAGCACCCTCAAAAGCTCCAGTACCTCCAGTAGTTCCAGAACCCTCAGCGCCCGCTCCTTTAGGACCAGCAGCAGCAGCTCCACCAGCAGCAGCACCCCCAG